TAGAACTTTTATATTAAGCATCACTTGACTCATAGATTAAAATAAACACAAGATGTCATTTTTACTTAGGACAGAGTAATGTATAGTCTATATATATTAGTATAGATATACAGTATAGTATATTATATACACAGTGACAGAGGAAAATACATTTTAGTGCACACATTCTAGTATACAGTATCTGACATAAAATACTTACACAATTATCCTGAAAAATCAGAAAAAAAACACATTTTAAAATTGATTACAAGATTTTTCAATATTTACGAATTGAATAAAAAACCTAAATAATATTTATTTACACTAAAAACAATTAAGTCATACTCTAAACAGCTGTGGTAGAGCCTGATAGCTCAGTCGGTAGAGCAATTATCTTGTAAATGATAGATTTCGGGTTTGGTCCTAGTCTGGATTACCTGCCCTTTTCTCTCTGTTCAATAGTACTAAATTTTATAGTACGATGGGAACCAGACTAGTTCGGTCCCTGAACTGGATTTAACTCAACGACACAACTTTGAGGGTTTTTTTTCTTAATCATTTTTATCAATAGCAATAGGGCCTACTTTAATAATAAACATTACTAGATTACAAATGGAAAATATTTTACCTAATGCTGCCTTTGTATTAATGTCGAAGATTTTTGGTCCTTTTTTGTTTACACGGTGACGTTTACTCGTCTAAGACCCATATCCATATCTCACTTCCCTTGAAATGTTTCTTAGAATAAGGTTTTCACTGCACTCAGTGCACTTTAACTTGTCCGCTAAATATCCTAGTTCAACTATTCTACGACCTTCTCTCCAAGATGGCACATCGACACCCATTTCATCCACATTGTTGTGAACAGAACACTGAAATGATTCGTCCGAATCAGCGTTGACTTCTGTTACGCAGTCATTTTCACTCTCCGGTACATGCGACTTGGCAAAAAACTTGATATTTCCGATACTTTCTGATCGATTCTTTGAAATAAAGGAACCTGACTTACTCCTCTTTCGCAAAGACATCTTAAACGGCGATTTATATTTGATTTTGACACTTTAGCTGTAATTGTGTTTTTTATCCGAAGACTACTCAACTTTAATTAAACCCAACGCAACGAAATAAATAACAAGTAACGGAAAGTGACATGCGCGGTTTATGTGCGCAGTGACTACTCCCGGAAACGTCTTTAAATGCCCCAGGTCTTGTCATTTCTTCAAATTATTGTTTAAACATATTCTATGCTCAAATTTAATATTAGGAAATATTGATAATGGATAATTTCGAACACTGTAAAGCAGTTGTTTCTGGTGAGCGACTATTGGCCCTCTTGTCATAATATACTAATCAACTTTTTGCTAAGCACCATAAGTTAATTTTTATATTATCACAAGTATGAAACAATTTTTTTCCAATTTTTGAAAATTCTGATTCAGCAATGTTTTGAGATAGTCCCCGTGTTGACTAAATCCGTTACAACTCGTCTAGGTAGCATGGAAAGCATGCACCCAATTTAATGTTTTAATGGGGTGTACAATCACATATCTTTTGCTTTACGCGACATTACCGGCTTATTGCCATTCTGAGGCTTACATTTCTTTTATCTGTCACTTTGATAGAGAAGCAGTTTTGAAGGTCTGTAGGGATGATGCAGCAGGGGGCAACCTTCCGCCAGTTTGGTCCGGCGTTTCTTGTACACCACACCGTCATCACCAGAGCCTTTGAGATATACCTAATAGGCGTGTTAGAGTCCGGAGAAGATGAGACAAACGGTTTCAGGCTGAGCATGACCGCTACGGAGGTTGGTCAGTTTTGGTGTGGTGAGGCATTAGCGTGGATGGACGAACCGACCTGGTTGTGCTAAATAGAGGCACATTGACAGATCAGCGATACACAGACGACATCTTAGACAACAAGGTAACGTTGTATGCTGGAGCAAGCGGCGATTCTAATGGACGATAATTATCGCCGCCATAGTGCCAGTTTGGTCCAGCACTACCTAGAAAGGGAGTCTATTGCGCGCACGGACTGGCCAGCTCGCTCACTTAACTTAAATCCAATAGAACACGTAGTATAAGCTCCAGGTCAGCTGCAACAAGAACCACCCAGGAGCTTGGACCGATATTGGTCCATAAATGGGCAGCCATACCCATTAGAACAATCAGAAACCTAATAGGGAGTATGAGTAGGCGCTGCCAAGCTGTCATTGATTGTCATGGGTCACACACACGTTATTAAGTCTAAAACTGTAAACAAAATAAAAACCCAACAATTTAACCAATTTGAAAAACACGCTGCATGTACTGAAATCCTCAAAGAAGGGGGTAATCCCCTTCTCTAGCACAAACACATTTTTAGGGATAAATACGTTCGTCAGCTGAATTGATAAAACAGTAAATCAACATTTAAAAAAATCACATGGCGTTATTAAAATTATCCCAAAAAATATTCATATATATATATGGTGCATAGCAAACGTTGAGTAGTATATTAAACATAGGTCGCACAAAATCGGCCACACTCTGAGGATCTTTTAGTGTATAGACTTGCACGGGAAAATGTATTTAACTCTTTCTCTACGAAACATGCGTGTCAAAGAGCTTAAGAAACGTTTTGTGTTTGGTATGTAGCATTGCCAACTGTTCCTCTACAAAAAATAAAACAATGTCTTTAGGATCAAAATTCCCATTGCCGCAGGAGCAAATTGGCTAGTACATGACGCAGACTTATAAAAATGTTCGGGGTTTAGATATTAGGCATGTAACATAGCTCTGTTGCACTGTCTATAAGTTACTCAACTCGTACCCCCATTGTCAAAATTGGGGTCACTTAATTTATATAGAATTTTATAGTAAAACACATTTAAGTCTTTCTAATAAGAACTAAAATGATTTGGTAAGATGTCATGAAATTTGTCATTTAGTCCTCCAGAGTGGCCCTATACACAATTCATCAAAATGCTCAGGTAACATAGACCTAAAATCTCCATACTACATTTCCCAAGGTTTAGGCATTTTCCCCACAACTTGGCCGAGCTAGTCATTTAGATGAGCATTGTTGGACCATCATGGTCCTCTTTTTTCGAGTTTCAAATGAAATGCCATTTTTCTATTGGCCTGTATCTTTAATAGTTAATATTATGTTTCATATTTTTGTCATAATATTTTCAAAGATGAGGGGATAAAATATACAATCTGTATTTGTCCGTCTGAATGACATGACTTGGGTGGCAGGTAAGTCCAGAGCTAATTGATGCCTCTTATTTGGTATTTGTCCCTAATTGCCTAAGTGTTTGTTAGGTCAGATTAACCTATAATGTGAAAACTTTGTTTTAATAAATGGAGAATCATTTGTCAACAAAGCATCCAAATTGCATAAAGTGATTACTCCTATCAAACGTATTTTGTGATCGAAAGGTCAAATGTAAAAAGCACAATATCCTTGCATGTGGAACGTTTCAGCAAAATACTCGGAGTACCATTTGAGAAAGAGACTTAAAACTTCATAGAATGAATGACCTTACTGAGTAAAACAAACAATTTTGGGATTGGTAGGCCAATTTCAGTGAACCTAATGTGTTCGATATGTTTGATGTACGCATGTAAGACCTACCGTTTTGTATTTTATATAAACATAGCAGTAACAAAGCTGTCAATGAATGTCGGCAATCGGGCTTAAAAAAAAATGTGATAAAATGTCATATGGAAGGTTATAAATTCACTCGAGCTTTTTGAAATAGAAATGTGAATCAGTTAAATGTGCCTGCATGGTCAAGACCCTGATTTTCTCACATTGTTCAGTCATATCAAATGATATAAGCCTAATGGTGTGTCCGTATGCCTTTCCTTAGCAGAGGAACTGAATACTGACAGTCAGGCATAAACACCTTTGTTTCAGACAAATCTACTAAATAATGGCATTATTATTGTAATGATTATCATCGTTATTATTATTATTATTATTATTATTATTATTATTATTATTATTATTATTATTATTATTATTATTATTATTATTATTATTATTATTACAAACCTTTCATACTTTTCAGATGTTGCCCAAAACATAATTGTTCTTTGTGTTATGCGCATAATAACAGTAAATTCTTGAATATCAGACAGGATTTACTATTGTTTAAACCGGTGCAAAAAACACTACTGTAGAAAAGTGCTTATTGAAAATATTATTTGTTATAAATATTTCAGAATTATGACGAATATGTAGGATAAAACACTGACCACTTATTCTAAGTCTCGGGTTACTAGCGTAAACTCGACAGTTTAACTGTTTACCACTGCAAACAGTTACATGTATCATCGAGTAAGATTTTCAGATCTGTACCGACAGCCGCGGGCCGGCGTCGTTAGATCCTTAAAACATTAATCGCAATCAAACAAACCCCTTCGCATACACACGCACGCTCTCAAACACACGCGCGTGCACTATCCTGTAGGACTTTACACTATAACGACTAGGCTGTTATAATTCTTTCAGGGGGATTCATTACTAACGTTCAAGGTCATTGATCGCACACACTTCGAAAGCTGAAATAAAATTAACCTGTAGGAGTTTACACTATAACGACTAGGTTATAACAATTCTTTCAGGGGAATTCACTAACTTTCAAGGTCATTTATCGTAAATCTGGTCTCCTTGAAAACACAGGGGTTTCAATTATAATCACTTGCAATATTGCTCGTTTTAACTCAAACATCAAAAAATATATAAGTAAAAGCTAGTAAGATTTTTCAAACGTAATTTAGTCTATTTGTAATCATTTGATCATTTGTACCACAGTACAATATCATCTACAACCATTAGAACTGTCTGATCCAAAAACTTAATCGAATGTAACGAAAAGTTTAATACTAAATAATGATTGAGGAAGTTTTCACTTGAGGTGTGTTTGATGATAATTACCTGGGGAAACAACGGAAATGATGTGATATACTCCACATTTATAGTGTTAACAGGAGTACTAGTAGTCGAATGTGCCGACCGGATGTCACACACTTAAAAACCATTTAGATCTCATCCACGTTTCATTTCACTACATGTAATTGTAAACAATGGTTTATTTAAAACATGAGTAAAATTTAAAGTTACAGCAATTAATAACTTTTTTGTTTTTTGATATAGTGTATTTTATCTTAATGAATAATAATTTGGATACAATATATAACATGTCAAGGAATATATTTTCTCTGTGTTCGGTTATATTATCAACAGTGATCATGACAGGGAAAGGTAGGTTTTGGTTTTGTTTTATTTGTCGCTTATTTTTTATGTATCTTATTCAGAATACATTGCTGCTATAACATAACGTTACGCCTATGTTTTGATCATTGAATAGATTTTGTTATGTTGCTTCGGACTTTTGTCGGGGCTGAAAATATTTTTTTCTAGATTTATGTTTTATTTGATGTAGGCCTAGACTAATAATTTGTGTACAAAGTTTCAAATCATCTGCACACTCCGATTTTTTTCAAAATGATTATTCTTACTGTGAAAACATGACCCAAAATTGAAAACCGTTGCAATGCATTTCACAAAAATTGTGCTAAGAATAGCACAAAAATACGATTTTCATTTTTTTTCTTAAATTATTTATTACTGAATTATCCCAGCTGATATATATTAGAAATTCAAATTTTATAGTGTTAGGCTTTCGAACCTCCTTTGAGTTCTTTTAAAGGGAAAGGCAATGTTAGAATAAAAACTTGATATCAGAAATGATATAGTATAAATAGTAAATCTGCAAATTTTTCTGCCTTCAATAATAATATTAAACGAATGATAATAAAATTTAAACCGCTAAATCACCGATTTCTACAAATCAGTAGGTGCAGCAATATTTGTGAAGAGAAGATTTTGTTTGGTTCAAAATGCGTAAGAATATCAAAAAAAAATATAAAGAAACAAATAAAAAAATCAACGGTCTACCGGTCGCACCACTTCAGACAAGTGATGGCTGTTACTCCAAACACTGCTACGTTCATTAAAGTCTCATCTTAATGTAATTAAACAATATTTCACAGATTTTATAAATACACATGTTATTATTTAACAAAGTTTCACAATCAAATAAAATAAATGAACAAACGCACCAACGAATAATTGGCTGTTCATTATTGATCGGCGATAATTATCATTATTATAAAAATCCTACTAAAACGTAACTATTGGCAACTATTGAAAATATTACCACTTTTCTATAAATAACTGACTCCGTCTAAAGAAAAATACTCCCCCTTCAGAAACTTGTAAAATATTAGCCCCCTTTCATTGACCTCAAATTGATTATCTTTATCAAACTAACTACTAAAAGCTATTGTTCTGGCCTCAACACTAACAACCCTGTCCTAATGCCTTAGAAACGCGATCCATTATCATGTATACACACTTGTTCCTTCTGAAAAAAATAATTACCTAGTCTCAGATATGAAGGTAATTAAGACACAATGCGTCCACCTACTTTTAAACCTGTATACTGTGTTACCTAATTAAGTCAGATTTCGTTAGATAATAAAAGTTCAGCTTCAACGAATTTACTTTATGAAAACTGGAAGCTAATTTGAACCAGTCTAAAGTCCGTTTCCTCGAGCCTGTGTCATATGAAGAAACATAGTTGTGAACCGAGAAATGCCCAACGATGGACCCCTGGGTTTAGAGACAGAAACTTAAACCACTCACCCACAGCTCACCTTGAAATATTAACTTGGATTAAGATATATTAAGACCCCCTTCCATATTTTTCAATTTATTGTACAAAATGTTGAACTTGAAAATATTTTGTTGTTATTTTTGCACTAGAAGTTGTTATATTAATCGACAGAGAATAAATTTGTTTTCGTGCTATCTGGTCAATTCATTTGACAGGTAGTCTTTTTTGAAAGGTGATCACCTTTGTTTGCGAGGATCAGTTTTCTTTGAGTAAGATGGTAATTATACATTGACCGGTGGTCATCAGGGGCGTAGCCAGCTTTTTTCAACTTGTAGGCCAATAAAAGGGGGTCTGGGGGCTAAGTGCCAGAAGCCAAAAACAAGTTTAGATTAAAAAGAGCAAATTGCGCGTTTTAAAGTATTTTCAAGGAAAATTATCAAAACAATAATTTTAAACTATGAATTTGATTAGATGTCAACTTTATTGGGGACGGTAAATCATGCATCAGTCTAAAAGACACTTGATACGACCATACGGCTTGAAAAAACTATCAATTCCACCCAGGCCGGTTTTTGTTGTATTTTTGGGACTTTTGAAAATGTCAATTTCTTGACCAACTTGTAGGCCTAGGCTTACATGGCCTCATAAAAGCTACACCACTGGTCATGATATTATGACTGGGGAGTCGATATACTTTAAGAAATATAGAGCGGGAGGTTCATAATTCTATGACGGCCACTTTCCTTCATTATACTGGTTTTCCGAAACAGCAAGCAGAATCAACGTGTCTTTGCTGCTTATGGCATGAATATCTTTTAGTACCTTTAAATTATTCTACTTACTAGGAGTAGTGCTAGACTGTTATAACACAACAGTTCCGGAGTACGACGGCCATCAACAGACGACTGTTACTGGAATACCGTGTTTACGATGGGATCAGTTTAGTTTTAACAACTTTCCAGATGCTTCTATCTCTGATGCAGCTAATTTCTGTCGTGCTATAGGATTTCACACACCATGGTGTTATACAACAAAGTCTACCTCTTGGGAGAAGTGTGGTATCAATAAATGTGGTGAGCAAAAATATCTTTTAACACAAATGTATAATTAGTGACAAGTAATTAAAATTTCTTTTTGTGATTTAAGAGTGTTATCTTGCAAAAATGCATGGCGGGTTTCCTATTTAGTAAAAGTTACAAGCTAATTAACATGTTTTTTGTTGCTTATGTTTTAATGCTTTTAATTTATTTATTTCTTTATGGATTACTAGATTGTTATCGTTTTAGCTTTTTTCTGCGTACGTCTGTTATCACTAGCAGACAGACGTCTGTTTTTGCCAAACCGTGTTTACGATGGAGCATGTTAAGGCATACAGTTCTACCTGGATAACACAAAGTCAAACGCGACTTATTTCTGTCATGCTCCTAAATATCAAGAGCTGTGGTGTTATATCCAAACATCTTTAAAAATGGGCTTGAAATTCAGTTTCAATCGATTTGGCGGACAAACTCTCATCAGTTCTAGCGAAATTGAATCGGCTGAATGATAGTCTATGGTACTTACTGTAGTTTATAATTTAATTTTCATTAAATTAAGGTTGTCAAGATTGTTTTCGAAGAAAAAATGTTGTCGAAATGTAACATTTAAATAGAACCGTTTGATTGATTTTAGCTTGATAATGCTGAAAACCTTATGTAATCGGCAGCTTAGCTGAATAGTGAGAGTATCGGTTTGTAATACAGGTCTTGCGTTCATCACGACCAAGGTCAGATTTTTTTTTTAAAATATTCCCCATTGTTTATCCTCATTTATAAGCTCGTGTTTTTCTTTGGGAAAAAAGATAAGATTATTATAAGTCATGTTGGCGTTGCCGTCCGGCCGTCCGCAAACTTAAAAATTGATAAAAACGTTTTAAGTTCTTGGTATACAGTCTTCACACTTGACCACAACATCCCTTTTGACCTACCTTGACCTTTATTTATAAATGACATTGACCTTCAAGGTTACATGTTTAAATTTCGCTTAGTTTTTGCTGATTTTTGCTATTAGTGGCTATAACCTTGTTATCTTTGAATGGATTGTCTTCAAACCTGAACACAAAAATATGTTAGGATAGACCTTTAAGGTGACTTGGTAAACCTTCACTCTTAAATGTCATTGACTTGGAAGGTCAAATTTTCATTTATCAAAATATTTCTACTCTTTTGCTGTAACTTTACTTTTGCTTTACCTTTGTTAACCAGGTTTTCAACGAAAACCGGGTAATTGTAATGCGAAGGCGGCGGGGGGGTGGCGGGCGGGGGGGGGGTGGCGGGCGGGGGGGGGGGGGGGGGGGCGGGCGGGCGTCAACTTTTGGTTTCCGCTTAATAACTTTAGTTTGCTTTGGCCTATTGACACCAAACTTTGTGTGTAGGTCGCTTATATCAAGAGGCAGCTTGGAGTTGCTACCCAGGTGTCTGTGAACAAGGTCAAGGTCACTGTTACTAAAAATAGAAATTCAGTTTCCGCTCAGTAACTTGAGTTTGCTTTGGCCTATTGACACCAAACTTGGTGCATGGATAGCTTATATCAAGAGGCAGCTTGGGATTGCTACCCAGGTGTCTGTGATCAAGGTCAAGGTCACTGTTACTAAAAATAGAAATTCAGTTTCCGCTCAGTAACTTGAGTTTGCTTTGGCCTATTGACACCAAACTTGGTGTATGGATAGCTTATATCAAGAGGCAGCTTGGGATTGCTACCCATGTGTCTGTGATCAAGGTCAAGGTCACTGTTACTAAAAATAGAAATTCAGTTTCCGCTCAATAACTTGAGTTTGCTTTGGCCTATTGACACCAAACTTAGTGTATAGATAGCTTATATCAAGAGGCAGCAATTCCAGGTGTTTGTGATCAAGGTCAAGGTCACTGTTACTAAAAATAGAAATTCAATTTCCGCTCAATAACTTAGGTTTGCTTTGGCCTATTGACACCAAACTTGGTGTATGGATAGCTGATATCAAGAGGCAGTTTGGGATTGCTACCCAGGTGTCTGTGATCAAGGTCACTGTTACTAAAAATAGAAATTCAGTTTCTGCTCAATAACTTGAGTTTGCTTTGGCCTATTGACACCAAACTTCTTGAATGGGTAGCTTATATCAGGAGGCAGCTTGGGATTGCTATCCAGGTGTCTGTTATCAAGGTTAATGTATTTAGTTTTCATGATCTAACTTTAGTTTGCTTTGACCTTTTTACACCAAACTTGCTGAGTGGCATCTTTGGATTGTCACTAAGATATCTATGAGCAAGGTCAAGGTCATTTGCTAACACTAGAATTTTCAGCTTCTACTCAATGAGTTCAGTGCACTTTGACCTATTGATTGCTGTCACATCAAAACTTGGTCGTTGAAAACCTGGATTTTGTCGCATTGCGGCGCTTCTTGTTATTATTGAATGGATTGACTTAATATTATAATAGAATAATTGTATGAATATCGAACTCAAATTGAACTCGACTCGTGTATGATCTTGACATTGATGGTTAAATTATTGAATGTTCACAGATATTTGCTATTATTGAGTTCAACTTCGTAATTAATTGATGGATAATCTTAATACTTTGTAAAACCAACATTTTGGACGAGACCTTCTAAAAGGTTTAACTGACTTTGACGTTGCGCTTTAAATGACATTGACCAAGAAGGTCATGTTATGAATTTTGATTAACTTGTCATATTTTTGGTATTTATAAACGAATTTGATTTAAACTTGGACAAACAAGACTTGATACCAAACAAATTAAAAGATTAAGATGTGACCTTGACCTTAAGTTGACTCTGACTGTCATAGTCTTATTGGCTATAACGTTGTTATCTATAAATGGGTTAACTTTATATTAAGACACAACATATTTTACGTTAGGACCTCCATGTATATCAAACTCAATTTTACGTTGTCTCAAGTATGACATTGACCTTTTTTGAAGGTCAAATTATTTTATATCTACTGATTATGGCTATTATTTGGTATAACTTGGTAATAAATCAATGAATTATTTTCATACTTGAAAAACAACCTTTTAAACAAAGCATTCTAAAAGTTTGAACTGACCTTTCCATGACTTTTAAACGACCTTCACTATCAAGGTCAAAAAGAATTTTATTTAAATTGTCATTATTTTGTTATATATGCACGATGAAATTCATATTTGGACAAAACAACACTTGTGACCAAACATATATGAGGAATAATTAAGATATGATCTTGACCTTAAAATACATTGACCGTCAAATGATTGATTCTGAACTTTGGCATTTATTTATAAAAATGGTTCGTACTTGGACAAAACAAAATGTGCGACTAGACAGACATACTAAAATTAAAGAAAAAGAAAAAAATATTTTGTTTCTTTAATTTTCTTTTTAAAGATTTGTTCAAACCATTTATTTGTTTGCTTTTAGAAAATGTTAAAAGGTCGAGTGTTGACCACGCTCGGCGGTGACTCTTGTTTATATTCTGTATTAACTTACTGTTAGTGACTTGAATAACATGTTTATGAAATTTAGGAATAAATTTATTAAAAATATTGGAATTTACAATTGATCCATGGTTGAACCATTATGGTTCTTCGTCCTTCGATTAAAAACAAATATTGTAGTTCCTTTGTTAATCAGTAAATGTTTTGCATTATATTTATGTACCATTTGACGAACAATTCAATTTCTATGAAGAAATAAATAATAATAATTGATCCACATTTTTAAATATTTTACACGGGGCAAGTGTCGCTTGGTCCGATTTTTGTTCAAGGTTTTGATCCCATACACTGAGTCTCATGATCATTTGACCCTTACCACTGGCTAGATTAGTAGTCGGTCTTTTGCGGAAAAATTGAAAATCACTGCTTAGTCATCCAATAAATTTTAAGCCGTTAAGGTTGACCGAGCGCCGAAAAATGAACAAATATTTTTTGAATTGGCAAAGGAAACAACCAAACCATCAATCAAACAGTATAATTATAATGCGATGATTTTTGAAATATTTTGGCTGTATCAATATCATTTTTATCCCCAACCTTTACCTTTTTACCTATCAAAACATATAATGTAACCCCATCCCGTTTCTTTTCGTATATATTGTGAGCACTGAAAAAAAGCATAGCCGAAAAGGGGACTCCCCAACTTTGTTTCATTTAAGACTGCCAAATATTATTTATTATTTTATAGCAGTGGAGTTTATTCGCTTCTAATGCTTTTTTACATTTTTTCGGTCGATTTTACTGCTAACCATCAGGCGGTTGTCTGTGCAACAAAAATGTTTACCTAGGCTTCATGAATTTCGGCACCTGTTAAAAATTACCAACTTGTTGTAGCCTGTATCTTTTCAAGAGTGCCCGGGTACAGAAGTACGTGGATTCCTTTGCTTCTGAATGAGCAAATGGGGTATCGTCCAAACTTTCCAAAGGTGTAAAGATTTTTGAGAATCGCTGCCTTCTGGTATTCTGCACACCTGGCTATTTCTTATCGCGCATCCTATTTAATCTACAACATTAACATTGGCGCGTCTCCCTTGGTGACAGAGGCCTGTCATATTATAGGCCTACAAAAACTGGTGGGATACAGCTCAGATAATTTAAACTTGCATATTAAAATGACCTGAGGTTTCTAAATATCACATTTGAAGCTTTGAATCTATAACAGCCTAGTTTGGCATCTATTTAAGTTACATGTTTGCGACCTTTTATAACGTGACAAAGCACTAGTCAGTTTTGACTTTGCTTTCATTTTCATTTAAAAATTATTTGTTCTAAATAAATTAGTTGGCACGCGTACATCATTTGTGTGACCACTGTTAAATATAACAAGTAAAGTTCCTGTTAGCTTAATTCGTCATCAGCATGTATCAATGTTAAAAATGACGCCTCGTATCGACGAATGATGGCGATGATGAACAATTAATGAAGATAATGATGATAGTCTACTGAGAATGATGATTCATTGGTGATTATTTATAGGATGATGGTACCGATTATGATGATGATATATTGATGATGATGTTGTTTAACTTTTGTATATGCACTATAAACTTCAATAACAGTGAAAGATTTACTTAGACATCCGAAAGTTGTGTTCACTGCGATCTAAAATTTACAATAGCAAAGAGCATATTGTGAAATTCGCGGATTGCTTTGGTTTTCTGCGCCTTGTATCAAACCAGATTTAGACAAAGATTATGAAAAAAATATTCTATTATGGGCAGCAGTTAAAAGATTGGTCTTGTAATTTAAATCTGGTATAACGGATATTAAAGAGTAGTCCTGAGTTGTCAGTCATGCACTGTAACAGCAACATCTGACAGTGTTGCGGTAAAAGCACAAGTCGAAGTTTCGAATCTCGTCACGCCCAACATTTGTCTTTACTTTGGAATTGTCAATGCATTTAACGTTCGTTAATTAGTCGTGTTAAAAGGTCTTTATGTTAATTATTGGCAATGGCAGCGCGTTTCTTATATTAAGTTAATCCTGTGAAAAATGATTCGAATAGTACTTTAAAGTATTCACCATGGACCTATACACACATTTCCACCTCAAAATCCGTTCCGAAAAAAGCATTTTTGAACATTGTATTGGGTATACTGTTAATACAATGCTGGAGAGCACTTCCGATGGCATACGGCTTTCGAACCAGCAGTCGCAAAGACAAGATTTGATGTCTGGATTTAATCAATAGTCACAAAAAAGAGAGGTAAGGACTATAAGCGGCAGAAAGCGAAACCTCAGTTCTATGCTCCTCCAAATAAGCATGAAGCATTGTTGACCGGTGCGTAGGTGCATCAACATAGACTAATCTGATCCTGTGCTTCCCGGACATTAGGTTCTTTGTAACATAGTGATTAACAACAGAAGTGAGTACATGGCCACGGCAAAATGTTTTAGTGACACTAACCCTCTCAGACAAATCGACATAGGCCATTTTCTCACTGTCAAAAATAGGGTATACATAAGTTTTAAACACTGTTGCTGTTTTCACCTACCAAAATGTTGTTACTTAGTTTTTTGTGGGCTCAAAAAGATAACGCCACGTTTCATACCCTGTGACAGTTTCATGTAGGCGTCTAGGTTCTCGATCATTCAACCTAGTCAATAAGGTAGAGGCTTTTTCAAGCCGCTTCCTTTTTTGTAAGAAGTTAACAAATGCGAAAACCAACGGCACACACTTTTCATATGATGCACTTAGGCCCGATATATCACCTATTTCCTCCACTGTATATCTTGCACCTTAATCAACTCTAGCGTTGACAGTACTGATGTCTTTTTTAGAGGTAGCGGAAATTAGCCGTCTAGGTCGGGTTTCATTTTTAACACAAGTTCTACTTTGTCTAAAAATTTACACCCACCTGGCAGAGTATATATATTCTTTCCAACGGTATATTATACATGTACATTCACGTACCAATCATGGTTAAATTGAGCTGTTGCCACTAATTACAATATGCCCCTCGTACCTTAAAAATGTGCAGAAAGAATATTCTTATGACATCTGTTATCATTATAAATGTGTTTGTTTCAAAATATATTCATAAAAATCAATAAAGTAGTACACTTAACCAAATTTATTTTTAGTCACCCCTTAAAATGCCTTGTTTCGAAAAGTCTTAGCTATGCTTACCTATGTTTTCTGACATATTATTCAGAATGTAATGTAACTAAAAGATTGAAACCAAGTTATCGTATTAAAATCAACCATGCGTGACGATTTCAATCACGTGCAGCGCCAGGAAATGTTGTTTGCATCAAATATGACGAATAAAAGATCTAATTAGAAAAAAAAAAATTCAATGTGTAAACATGGAGGCAATGTTGGTCGTCACAATTTCTTTGCGCTTTACATTGACTTCCTAATGTAAACGTTATTTAAAGAAAGTACAGTATTTTTTTAAGCTGTACATGATTAAAGAAAATGAAAAAATGAAACAAATTTATTATGTCTTACCCTTAAAGTGAGTCCGACATATTTTGACTCTTTCCGTGTTGTTCCAAATCAAATATCTGCCGATATGACAAGGAAAAACATCAGAATGCTGTATGCGTATTTAAATTCGCGGAAGCAAATTTTCGCGGAAAGGTCCACTTTGGGGGTCTATAAAAATATTCGCGCTATTTTGAATTCGCGGAGGTGACTGCCGAAAATCATAACTTCGCGTAGACCACTCAGGTTAAAAAGGAAAAGTACTGTAATCATCGTGGCAGTTCACAGTTATTTTCAATACCAAGTGTCAAACAATACTCTATTGTACAGAAAAGAACATTGTCCAGCGGACAATTTTAGCAAACAAATGAATGCCCGTTAACGTGCATAATTTTTCACAGTTTGCGTCATAAACGTCTTGACATCTGATCAGATCATGTTTTGTTTTTTCTTAACAAACAATTAAAAAAAAACAAAAAAAACAACAAACATAAACGATTTTAAATGATGAATAACTTGGAAAACAAAACACAATTACTCAGTAAAGATTTATATAAAAAGTGTGAAAGCATATCACACGCTGATATACATTGTTCTATAGGAGCGCGAACATATGACATTTAAGAAATTATTGGTGTAGAAATATTCGCGCTAAACATGAATTCGCGGATCGAATGTCACCGCGAAGATCGCGAAAATTTGTAGCCCGCGAATATTTCTACACATACAGTAATTGAAAATGAATGCTTTCAGTGTAAAGGCTTTCAAGAAAATGTAAAAAATATAGGCTGATATAAAAGCGAAGACTTTTCGAAACATTTAACATTAGAAAATTGGTTAATTCTAATTATCGTAACAAAACATTATTTCAGTTAGATAAAATGTGAATGTTTTAATTGAAGATGGAGTTATTCTACAGGTAACGATGGTTTGAATAAGTGTGGCCAATTGAGTATTGAGAAACCCACAATACTTGGAAGGAATGTGACATTTTCCTTTACCCCCGACACGTATGATCCAAATGCAATTTTAGAATGGCAGCGCAGCATAAATGGAATAGATCAATGGAAAACGCTCCCTTTAAACTACAAGTTTACACAATATGAGAGAGATATGACCTACTTCTTGATATTAACAGACAGTGTCAGAAACAATGACGAGAGATTTTACCGTATCCATTATTATAATGAGACAATTCATTGCTGGATGGACGCTGGAAAAATTATGCTTAAAGGTATTGTAGAATGAATATTTTGCTGTAATATATGTTTTCTTTAAATAATGTCTCAATTATTTTAAGTAAATGATTACACAAGCCATAATCAATAATCATAACATGTTATTTGCATGTATTTTATTATAATTGTTTATAGGTAACAGAAACTGATTCTATTTTTTGATTGATTGCTATAATGTATAATTTATGGTCGGAACCAAAAAATGTTTTTATGAAGACAAATTGAATTACTATCTGGCTTACTATATTTTATCTTTAGCTATAGGCAATTCGTGTGGACTCGTCTACCTCAGATCTGAAAAGGTGGTTGAGAATGGAACGGTGCATATTGAATATTATCCGTCGAATTATATGATTCAAAATAGCGGTAGTTTCGAACGGAAATGGATACATTCATTTGGAGAGACGAGACAAGAATTGACATTCGGTGATGGTAGCTACGAAGAGACATGGGAGCAAAATGATAAATATGTGTTGACAATATTCCGGTTTAGTGTTTCTATGAATGGACAATATTGGGTTTATTGTCGTTTATCTTCACTAAACTTGTACACAAATGCTATAACCGTAAACATTCCAGGTTCGTGTGTGTTTCTAAACCGAAATATATTTTATGATCATTTGAAACTTCAGCAGTGATATATTATTTATCAAAAACAAATAATGAAAGAGAGTAAAAAATAAAAAGCCATATTGATATACACTTAAAAGGCACTTCTAACGCAACATATAAAGATAGTTTAAGATGTCATTAAGTACTCTGCACGTGAATGCAACGCAGTCTTCCATCCATGACGGGCGGCCAGTTCCACTCGTTGATCGATTCAAAGTAATATGAGCGAAACATATGACTTTTGATCATTTATAATAATTATACGATTGCCAACAAGCTGACACCAATGACACTTTAAATTTTACATGAATTTTGACAGAATTGTTGTCCGTTTTCAACTTTGGATTTTTTGTATGCAACATTTAATATGCAACATTTCTTTAAGGTACTCACATGTAAGTTTGTACAAGTCTAAGAGATGGCTAATTGGAGATTACTTTTCAGGGCACAATTCTCTAGTATGAATTTCGACGGAATTCTTTCTGAACTTAAGCGTTATTGGTTAAAGTTTTGCATGTAACATCAGTCTTTAACTCTACTGACGGTATTCACCTAAAACTTGATACACAAAATGCTAATCTCTTTAGAATAATACTTGGAAGTCATACCCCAAGGCTCATAACTCTTGACATGGTTTTTTACTGAATTATAGCCCTTTTTGAGGGTCAAAGTTTTGCATGCAATATTACTCTTGAAACATAAATAGTGTCTCACTAATCATAATTCAAGGTCATTATACAAGGTTCATAACTCTGATAAGGTTGTTTTATTTTAAATTAATATTCCTCTAACTGACAGCTCTTGTTACTAAATGCTATTTCATTTTAACGAAATACTATTTTTTGTAACAAAATGTTTTTTTTCATTTTAATCATTTAGTCAATACGAAATGTCTTTTTTTAAAAGTATTTTTTTTTCTTTTTCAAAAAGTTTTTTTGTTTCAAACAAAAGTTTTTTTGT